AAATATATATGAGGATCTTAAGCCAAGAGAAACAATTCAAATAGAATTGGTTTCATATGAAAGACATGTAGTTTTGAACATGTAGTTCAAACACTTGAATAAAGTCAATGGTATGTGCAATCAGTGTTTCAATATCTTATATGCCTAGCATGACATGAAAACTTGATATGCATCTAAAGTCTATTATATGACTTATATGACTTAACAATCCCTGAAGGATTTAAATTGCTTAAAGCATATAGAATTCATGGTCATGAAGTACTACATCCTCAATGCAATTTGTGCACAAATGTATCTTGCTATAACTATATGCATGATAATATGATTGCAAGAGTTTTCACCTCTATGTGAAGATATTGAACTGACGATTCCAACAAGATCATATGAAGACAATTCATCTCTATCAAGAATGATGATTTCAAGGTGCAATATATTCATTCAAGTTAATATGGCTGATTTGTTCATCAAATCTCTACCAAAGATCTTTTGAAGATGGTGCAAAAGATTGGAATGCAAATGCTTAAGGATGTGAATTGATGCTCTCATCAGGGGCGGTTAATACGCGTTGTACTCTTTTTCCCTTACAAGGTTTTGTCCCAATGGGTTTTCCTTGCAAGGTTTTTAATGAGGCAACCAAAAGACGTATTTCTAAACATGTGTACTCTTTTTCCTTCTCTAGAATTTTTTTTCCCACTAGGTTTTATTTTAGTTAAGGTTTTAACGAGGCACATTATCTGGTAGATAGACATTCAAGGGGGAATGTTATAAATAGAATTCTATTTAAGGTGAATGTCTATATTTAGAGAGATTCTAGGGTTTATTACTTGGTGGCTAAGTCAACCTCTCCCTATAAATAGAGGGTTCTATTCCATTGTAATTCATTCCAAAAATTCAATAAGAATTCCTTCTCTCTCTTTCTCTGCAATATTGTTCTTCTACTTTTATTATTTCATAACAGAGAATGAGTTTTTCAAACATTAAAAAATGGTCTTGAGCACTTTTCAAAATTTTCAGATTTTTTTTTCCCGCACACAAAACTGCAACATTTTTTCAAGTGAAATGTATGTCCACACAAAATTTCAAATTACAAATGTTATTTTTCAACTTAACTCCAAATATTACTTTTTCTAAAAATTACAATTTTTACGTCCAAACACCTACTAAATTTGCTGTAAATTTCATTCGGGAATATGTAGTGTCCAAATTAACAATTCTTCTTCATTTTAACTTCCAATTATTCGAAATGTAATGGCTCTTTATCCTAGTGCTAAGCTTCAGGTGTCTCAAGTATATGCAATCTATTTTTTTTTTTTTAATAACTTCAACTTAAAATATATTTCGAAATATATTTTAAAATACAACTACAGATTGGTAACATGCAAGAAAATATAAATTATTTGATTTAATACAGTAAAATTATGCTGATAACTAAAATTACATTAACAGCCAATAGTGGTTCGAGTCCTGTGAGGTTTGAGTGCAGCAGATAATAAGTCAAAGTCAATGAAACCTGCATATATTGTGGAAACATACTTCAAACAGTTTCATCCTCGAGATGCCCGTACTCTAAACAAAACATAAAGGAAAACACTAGTTTATACTATTATTAAACCCTCCCCCCTACCCCCCCCCCCCAACCCACCCTAAAAAAAAAGAAGTTAAAAAAAAATAAAAACAAATGATTAAAATGATACTCCTATTTGCTAAGGCAACCAGCAGATGCAGAAATTGACCATACATGAAACCAACGGATAAATATTAGACGAGGATACAATATTTGAGTATTGGATATTGTAGCTTCTGAAGTGGTCCTACTACTAACCTGGAAAAAATAGGTAAAAAAGACTTCTCAAAGTCTTTGTGGAAGAATATTGGACACAAGTAGTTCAGAGGTCAAATTAAAAATAATAAAAGTTATGAGTAATTTTGAACATGTGATGTTTGAAATATCTCCCATGATGTTTGAAACATCTCAAGGATGTTTGAAACACCCCGGAATGTTTCAAACATTTTCCGGGATATTTCAAACATCCCCGGGACATTTGAAACATCTCCCGGAATAGTTGAAACATCTCCCGGTAGATGTTTCAAATGTTCCGGGGATGTTTCAAACATCACGGGAGATGTTTCAAACATCCATCGGGGTGGAGGAGGAAGGGATGTTTTTGTAAATAAGAAAACTTTGGGGGTTTTAAAATGCCCCTTCTACCCCATTCTAACACTTTTATCTTAAAAATTTTATATAAGTTTTGAAGTCTCTTAAAAAACCTTAAGATTTTACTTTAATTTATTTTATAGTCACGTGACGTAGGCTTTTCTTTTTTGGGATGGTTTTGTCATATTACTTGTTAGGTTTTGATTTTATTTACGGCAGAATAGCCTAGGAGACACTTGTACTTAATCTGGTTTGTCATCCCGGTCCCTACACTTCATAAAGTTTCATTCAGACACTTCAACTTAATCAAAACAAGACTTTTAAACCCTTCTGACCGTTGACCGAGCTTATGTGGCATTAATATGGCTGAAGTGGACAAAATGAGTGTACACGCACATTAGGTGCGTGACCTGACGATTCTTTTTTATTAAAAAAGTAAAATTTAATAAATAAATAAATAAAAACACACTAGCAGCGCCTCCCCCTTCGTTCTGCACCCCCTCTCCCCCTCCCCCCCCCCTCCTCTTCTTCTTCGCATCCCTCCCCCTTCATTCTGCCCCCCCCCCTTCGTTCTGACCCCCCCCCCTCTTCTCCTCATCTTCTTCTTTAGATCCCCTCCCTTCCCCTTTTTCTTCATCCCTTCTTTTATTAGATTTTCTCCTTGGTGTGTATTTCTTCTTCCATCATGTCATCTTCCCTTTCTCTATGACTCCTCCATTTTTTTCGGTGATTTTAGCTTTCAAATTTTTTCATAGCCCTTCCAAATTGGGGTAGAGGAATAAGTCAAAATTCAAAAGACTTAATTCTCTACTCATGTATTTTTCATGGATAGATAACTTTCTTTAAAAGAGGAGTGAAGGAAGTAGTGGTATTCATGGTGAAGGAGCCATGGTAGGTGGGTTATTCTTTTAAGAAGGTTGAGTGGGGTTTGAAGAAGAGAGGAGGGGTTTTCTTTAATTTTAATTTTAATTTTTTGCTTTTTTTTGTTTATGAAATTAAAATTTTGTTAAATAATATTATTTTGGCGTAGAATCTGATGTGGATGCTGATTTGCCATGCACGTCAAGCAAGTGAGCATCACACGATTCCGGAGGTGTTTAAAAGTCTTGTTTTGATTAAGTTGAAGTGCCTGGATGAAACTTTATGGAGTGTAGGGACCGGGATGACAAACCGGAACAAGTACAAGTGTCTCCTAGGCTATTCTGCCTTTTATTTACAGCAATAAGTAAACCACTAGTTCACTACACAAAATATAAAAAAGTTAATTGAAAAAGTAATTTCATGCGATCTATTATTAATGAAATTGATTAGGTGATGAAATCAAGAGAAAAAGATTCAAACCAATTAGGCTCGACTTATGTCTTTTCACCAAACGATCAAGGAGTTGACTTTTACAAGCGAGTGATTATATTGGCTAATTTTCTGTAAATTGAATGATTTGGGGTTTTCTGGATAGGAAAAGTTAAATTACTTTTTGAAGGTAACAGATATCCACGAAATTAATCGAATTACGCATAAGGTGGTCCAAACATACAACTCTAATATAAGAAAAAAGTTTCATTTCATTTTTTAGAAAGAAAAAAAAATTGCATTTCGATAATATGGCCATCTGAGCAACTTAGCTAGTTTTGATAGATAAATGGTTTGAGTCAGAATTTTTTTGATCAATTATATATAGGTGCCACAAAATCTTTCTTTTACTTTTTAAGTAAGAAAGTACAACCCAATATATTATCAATACTTTTCATAGTTTAAAACTAAAAGTGCATTTTACTCCACGTACCATAATAAAATCTTAATCTTTAACTCAACTGGTTTGGCACTAAAGCGCAATTATTGGCGTATTTGGTCATTTCCTGTGTATAATTCTTCAAATTTTCCGCGTGTTTGCTCCTAATTGGAAATTTCTGGTAACGATCTTCACCTTTATAAATTATCGTTTGTTCTTTCAACACAACTGATTTACGTCTATTTTATTTTTTTCCTACACGAGAAGAATTTCATGGTATGTGTATAGGTTCATATTTGGTAACTACGGTAATAACGGATACGCAAGACAAAAGACGGGGTCGACCACGACACAACGCCTGAAGGTCGTCCTCATAAAGGCTGACGCTAGAAGTGGGCAGCTGAGATAGGATAGTAACGATAACTTTAATTCAGAAGTAGACAACTTTGGATATTCTTTATGTTGTACTTTTTAGGGTTTTGGGGGAATGTCCCTTATAAATAGGAAGAGATAGAGAACAAAAAGGGATCTGCCTTTTTGGAACTAGAACATATTGTAAAAGTTGAAAGAAGAATATACAGGAGGGTTGTCTTATTCACTTATTCAAGCACATGTTGTCCAATCTCTATTCATAAATCTCGAGATCCCATACATATTCCAACTGTTCTCCTTCCCACGTGATCTTCAGAAGAAAGGAACCTCCCAATCATATAATCATTGGTGATAGTTCCTTTCCCCCTATCATCTTTGTCCGTATTTACATTTATTATGCAGTTATGCTATTACATGCATTATAAATCATAGCAAATTAATTCTGTTGTTTATTGTTCCTAGAATCTATCCGTTATAGAAGGGTTTTGTGTCGTTTGATCTAGAATATATTAGATACAACTAAGATTCACTCCATCAAACTTAACATTAATTGATTTAGCAATTATTTGCTCAAATAATTTGGCGCCGTCTGTGGGGAGTTTTTTTTTGGTTAAACTGAAAACTTTTATTTAACCAAGTGTAAATATGTACATCCACTCGCTCATTGGACTCTAGAGACGGGTCTTACAAAAGTAGCCTATCTTTTTATCACTTAAGTTCCACATCTGGAACTTAAACTCTATACTAACATGGATATCTATTTATCCAATCTAAGACAACTCTCCATTTACAGTAGCTATTTCCTTTAATGTGTAAATGTAATACAATTTCTCTAACTCTATCCCTACTTTCTTTCCTTGTCTGTTGAAACCTTCGTAAGTTCCTTTCCATCCATGTGTGATATACTATTGCTGCAGAGGTATTTCCAAGAATCTTCCATTTTGTATTCCTGCTCTTTGTTTTTGTAGCCATCCATTCAATCTCTTCCTGCCATCTACCTACTTGTCGATCAATTCCAAACAGCCTCAAAATCTGCTTCCATATGAACTTTGAATATGAGCATTCAAAGAACAAGTGATCATGAGTTTCCTCTTCATCTGTCATACACAGAGCACATTCTGCAGGTACTGGTATTCCCCATTTGATCAGCCTATCCACAGTTGCTAGTCTCCGATGCAGTGCCATCCACAGAATGAATTGATGCCTAGGGATCATACCTTGTGTCAAGTACAATGTCTTCCAATTAACTTTTGGATATTGTGGTATGAAGGAACGATAAGCTGTGCTGATGGTATACTTCCCCTGTACAACATATAGTTCCAACTCTTGTATTCCAGTGGTTAACCATTTTCTGGCTTCAAATATTTTCCTTACCACCCAGCTAGCCTGTTTAGGAGTTTCCATGTTTTCAATCTCTTTCTTCTTTATATAGTGATTATGTATCCACATAACCCAAAACTTGTCTTTGTTCTGTGCGATTGCCCATAACAGTTTCCCTATTGCTGCTCTATTCCACTTAGAGAAGTTTATAATGTTCAGTCCTCCTGCTGCTCTTGGCTTGCAAATTTGTATCCCATGCTATAGGAGCTTTCTTTCCTTCATTGCTTCTATGCCATAGAAAGTTCCTGCATATCCTTGTAACCAGATCATGTACTTTTTTTGGGATCATGAAGACTTGTGCCCAATATGTTTGCATTTCAAACAACACACTTTTGATTAGTTGGACTCTCCCTGCATATGATAAAAATCTGGCTGTCCAGCATTTGACCCTTCCTGCAATTCTATCAACCAAAGGCATGCATTGACTAATGGTGAGTTTTTTTAAGGACAAAGGGACACCTAAGTACTTGAATGGTATTTCTCCAATGGTGAACTGCAGCTTCTCCAGTATTTCTTGCTTGTGTTGATTAGATATTCCTGCCACATAGAATGAGCTCTTTTCCATGTTAGCCTATAAGCCTGAAGCTGTGGAGAATTTTTCAAATTGTTTCATCAGAAGTTCAATAGACACCTTATCAGCTCTACATCACATTAATAAGTCATCAGCAAAACAGATGTGAACTATTCCCAATTTTGCACATTTAGGATGATAGTTAAAATCTGGATTTGAGTTCGGCTGCTTTAAAGATCTATTCAAGTACTCCATTACTAAAACAAAAAGATAAGGTGACATTGGGTCACCTTGTCTTAATCCTTTTTTCGCTTGAAACTTTGTAGTTAATCCTCCATTGATCAGTAGGGAGTTTTTAGTTGAATTTATAGTTCTTTCTAGGTCAAAAAAAGGAGGAGAAAGACGACCATCTTTTCTTTGTTTGTACAAACTAACGATGGTAGGAAAAGGAGATGCAAGACTGAAAGCGATAAAAGGCGTCACCACCAGCATTATAAATACCATCAACAAAGATGGTAAAGGAGACAACGAGAACGTGACACCAGACGCTACGCCCAGGCGAAGTGCTTCACCTCTCCCCTCCCGGCCCCCTCACGAAAGCGTAACAGCTTCACGCGAAAGGGGAGCCTCCACATCCACAGCTGAAGAGGCACCACCAGCAGTGAAAAAGTTACTGGAAGAGTGTTTGACAAGCACCCTAAACAATATACTCGATAGACCCGTTCAAAGGGAGAACAGAAATACCGCGCAAGCAGATACCACAACAACCACTGGCGAACAGCCCGCACCTCAAATAGGTATCGCTTACACCACTGTTGATGCAGGTAACGACGCACCTGCAACCGTATTAAAGAAAATGGAAGAAATGGAAAACGAAAACAAGTCACTCCGCGATCAGATGAGGGAGCATCAAGAAAGGGTCGATAAGATACCAGGTGCCCCAAAGTTGCTGCCAAAGCGAGATGTTGGTCGGTTCGTCGAACAACCATACAACGAAGAAGCGACTCCATATGCCATTCCAAAAACCTTCAAAATGCCACCGTACCTGAAGATATACGACGGTACTACAAACCTCGAGGATCGCATCATCCACTACATCACAACGGTGAAGGGCAAAAACCTTTCAAAGGAGCAAGTGTCGTCAGTGCTGCTAAAAAAATTCGGTGAAACCCTGACGGGGGGAGCCTTAACCTGGTATTCACAACTGTCGGCGCGGTCAATAGCAACGTTCGAAGAAATGGCCAATAAGTTCGTCACTGCCCACGCAGGGGCTAAAAAGGCGGAAGCCAGGGTGAACGACATATTCGCCCTTAGGCAATCGCCTGGCGAGGGAATCAGAGACTTCCTCGCCCGGTTTAATAGAGTGAGAATGAGCAATGTATCGGAAGGGATGGCGATAGCAGCCTTCCAGAACGGGTTGAACAGGAACGGATCGAGGGCAACCAAAAAACTACTGAGCAGGCTCAGGAAATACCCTCCCACCACTTGGGAGGAAATTCACAATGCCTATTGCGCCGAGGTAAGAGCCGACAAGGACGACCTTGACGGTCCGACCCAACGGCTAACATCAGTTCAAACAGAGCCGGGGAAAGATTGTCACAACGACGGTCGAAAAGATCAGTCAGGCCCCCGTCTCAACCGAGAAAGACACCAGCCCTACATCAGAACACCCATCCCACCGTCTCCCCGACATATAGAAGGGCCGCCCAGGCCGCAAATAGGGACTCAACAAAATGAAAGAGGTATGCCTCCACTCTTATCCGCTCACAATTTTTGTGTTTCCCCTTCAGAAATAGTATACACACTAGAGAAACTTGGCACAAAGGTGAAATGGCCACAAAAGATGAAGTCCAGCCTAAGTACACGAAAGTCGAACCTCCTCTGTGAATTCCACCAAGAGCGGGGTCACAAGATTGAGGACTACATAGCTCCACGACAAGAGGTAGTAAACATGCTGAACCAAGGGCACCTGAAGGAACTGATGAGCGACCGTGGACGAGCCAACTTCGGCCGCAGGCGAGAACAACACCAGGGACCTCCAATGCCGCCCTCCCCCGCTCGCACCACTCAAATGATCGTCAGCGGAGGCGATGAAGCAGCGGTCAACCATATGAAGTTCACCACCATACACAAACTCAAGCGATCGATCACGCACGAACGGTATGACGACTTCGGAGACATTATCATCTTTGATAAGTCAGATACCGACGGTTTGACTTTTCCTCATTTTGATGCTCTTGTTATTACTTTACGTATTTCAGATACTGATGTGAAAAGAATAATGGTTGACGACGGAAGCGGCGCGTGTATTATCCACCCTCGAGTCCTCATATATACAAATGAGACTCGAAGACAAGGTAGTACCACGTTGCATAACGCTGACAGGTTTTAATAATACAATTGAGCGAACCTCCGAGGAGATAACGCTACCCGTTTTGGCCGGGGGTGTCACTCTGGAAACAACGTTCCACGTCATGAACCAGGATACAGCTTACAACGTCATCATAGGGCGGTCATGGATTCATGCCATGAGAGCCATACCGTCAAGCCTATACCAAGTAATAAAGTTCTCTACTCCATGGGGAATATTCAGCATCCGAGGCGAGCAACGCATCGCCCAGGAATGCTATCGCATCGCTCAAGACTGCACATATACCCAACAACTAAAAAGAGCAGGCTCAGAAGCATAGCAATCACTGAAGTCGAGGATCAGACCCGACGTGCTGACAAACGTCATCAGGGACCCCGACACCGTGGAAGCTGCTGGATCAACGATAGAAGATTTTGATCCCGTCCAATTAGATAGCAGCAACGTCAACAAAAAGGCTTATATCGGACACAAGCTCTCAGAACCACGTAAATTTCATGAATTTTTAATTGATAACGCCGATTTGTTCGCTTTCACCCATGCAGATATGCCAGGCATCCCAAAAGACGTTGCCACCCACAAGCTGAACGTCGACCCGCTCTATCTACCAGTGCGGCAAATAAGAAGAAAATTCAACGTCGCAATCAATGAGGCTATCGGTGATGAAGTAGATAAGCTGCTCGCCAACGGTCCCATACAGGAATCGATGTATCCCCAGTGGGTCGCCAATGTGGTCATAGTAAAAAAAAAATGGGAAATGGCGCATGTGCGTAGATTTCACAGACCTAAAGAAAGCATGCCCAAAAGACTGCTTCCCATTGCCTCACATCGACCAGCTCATCGACTCAACGGCAGGGCACGAATTGTTAAGTTTCTTAGACGCCTATTCAGGTTACAACCAAATCCTTATGGAGGAGGAGGATTAGGAGAAAACTACTTTCATCACCCATTAGGGCACATATTGTTACAGAGTCATGCCGTTCGCGTTAAAGAATGGAGGAGCAACGTACCAAAGGTTGGTTACCAAGATGTTCAAAGACCAACTCGGCAAGACAATGGAAGTCTACATCGACGACATGCTGGTCAATTCAAAAAGGAAAGAAGATCACATCGACCACCTTAAAGAGGCCTTCGGTATATTAAGGCGGTATGGCAAGAAACTGAACCCCGAAAAATGCGCCTTCGGTGTAACCTTGGGCAAATTTCTCGGTTTCTTGGTATCACAAAGAGGCATCGAAGTCAATCCAGACCAGATCAAAGCCATTGAAGGAATACCTAAGGTGTTGACCAGCAAGAAACAGGTGCAAAAACTAACTGGCCGTATAGCTGCCCTATCGAGATTCATCTCACGGTCATCCGACAGGTGCCATAAATTCTTCAACATGCTGAAGAAAGATAACGGGCTCCAATGGAATTCGGAATGCGTCGAGGCCTTGAGGGAACTAAAGGCATATTTGTCCTCACCTTCGCTGCTCGCCAAAGCAGAACCCGTTGAGCGCCTCCTAATCTACCTAGCCGTCTCAGAAGTTGCAGTAAGCACAGTATTGGTCCGTGAAAACAAAGGTACGCAGTCTCCAATCTATCATATTAGCAAAACCCTGGTCGACTCCGAAACGAGGTACCCCCACCTCAAAAAATTGGTTCTAGCACTGGTCGTAGCTTCAAGAAAGCTTAGACCCTATTTTCAGTGCCACCCCATATTGGTAGTAACGACCTTCCCCCTGCGGAGCATCCTACACAAACCCGAACTGTCGGAAAGGCTGGCTAAGTGTGCCATAGAATTGAGCGAGCATGATATAACATATCAGCCGCGAACAGCGATAAAATCGCAGGTACTCGCCGATCTCGTCGCCGATTTCAATACCAAAATAATGTCCAAGGTAGAACAGGAAACGCTCCATACCTCCCATGGGCAACCCGACCTCTGGGTCCTTTACACCGACGGCATGCGTCGGGATCCGGACTGGGACTCGTACTTGAAGTCCCAACAGACGAAGTTATCCCCCAATCCATACGGTGCCCCGAAATGACTAACAACGAGGCCGAGTATGAGGCCGGAATTGCAGGATTAAAGTTAGCCCTCAAATACGGAGCACGACGAGTCATCCTCATATGCGACTTACAACTCGTCGTCAACCAAGTCGT